CGTGGAACTAGATAAAGTCAGATAATCTAGATAATTGACTTAATTTTAAGGCATTTCAGAAAAATTATGTGACCAGGGCTTTAAGCTCCTTGAGATTAGAAACCAGGTATTCCCAGCACCTGGCACAGAGGAAACACTCAACAACTGTTTGTTGAATAAATGACCTTTAAATAATCTGATTAAAAGGAATCAGACTCATGGAATTAGGATTATCTGGAGAAGATTGGGCTTCAAGGGCCCTGGATGAGTTCATTTAGCTTTTAGAATTAAATAAATTTGGGCAAACTCTCCTTGCGTATCATTAGTGGCCTGAGCATCTAGTCCTCATTTTTAAGAAAATATGCATTGTAGCCACCTGTAATATTCTCACATGAATCTCGATTTTGAGTTTAAAACATTATGCTGATTTGTCCTGTTAACATTGGGAAGTGTAGATATCTTCATCCTTAGATAGCTATTAGGTGATAATTGCAGATTCAATTATTTCTAAGAGAAAAGGATGTTTAAAAGATTGAGGGCAAAGCTGAGAATCTGGGAGTCATCTTTTAACAATGTGGAAATGTCCCGCAGGGAGTGTGTGCAATGAAATGATTAAAACGCTTCCTTTGCACATTTTTAAAAAAAAGATTTATTAAAATAATGTCAGTTAGCAGAGCTCTGCTAGGTTTTCTGTAGTGGGATTTCAATTTATTTATACTGGTGCTGTGTAAGTATGTATGCTTTTTTTTTTTTTAACTTTTATTTTCTGATGGATATTTCAGAAAATGCTTAAAGTGGTATTGTTGTTGACTGAAGTCTGAAGCCCCAGTGTGGTTGATAACTAGTAATTTTAATTTAAGATGTCTCAAGAATGCTTTACTGTTAATTGAAAGGACTTTTCCCCTAGTATCACAGCCGATTACTTGTCTGGAGCAGCTAATTAGTGCGATTATTCCACAGCTGCCTTTGCTGCAGCACAAAGCTTTGCTCCTGTTTTTATCAAAAGGATCAGGCTCTCTGGGAATGTTTTAACCTGACAGGCTTTGAATAGTAAGACAGCTTATTTATTTATTTATTTCTCAATAGTCCCCCCCCACCCCTTTCTTGGCTTAAGAAAGTGTGTTTGAGCTTTGCCAACATAATCAAAAGTGGGAAAATGTGTTTTCTTCTGATGCTCTTTTAGTAGTATCAAGTGAACTCACCAAGTGAATAGATTGTTTTGAATAATGGCTGAGGATTCTGATCATGCAGATGAGTATATGATATTAGAGTATTAAACAGAGTATTAACGTTGTTCAGTTTGTGTGTTTGTGTGTTCTACTATAAGTGTAGGAAACTGTAAAGGAAAAAGATTTAAGTTTTCTGGGATGCAGAAGACTTCCAAGAGAATCAGGGTGCTGGATGCAGTCACTGCTTTCCCTTCCTCCGTCAGCGTACTGTGTGTGATGGATCCAGTCTTCTTTCTTGCAGCCAAATGGTGACTTTTCATCACTCAACTCATTTCCTCATGTTCTTAAGTTGGTTTCTGGTGGCGTATATTCTGCCACTGGACAAAAATATGATGGCTTTATTTATTAAATAGGTTTGAGAAATAAAACTAGTTTTATTTAAAAAAAAAGAAACTAAACAAAAAGAAATTAACCTGTAATTCTACTCCCACTCCTACCATTACGACCGTCTTTATACATACTCTACTAGTTGTGTGTGTGTGTGTGTGTGTGTACATATACACAACTTACTTTAATCAGTGTAGAAATACACTTTTGGATCCCACTTTTTAATTTACTCTTATTACATGCATTTCTCATTTTGCCCTGTAATTGTACAACTTAAAAAAAAAAGTAGTATTTTGTCAGATTCATGTATCATAATTTACTTAATCATTCTTACATGATAGAGCAAATTTAAGTTATTCAGAATATTTTGCAATTTGTAAATAGCTCTGTAATGTCAATTTTTCCACACTTTGAATTATTTTTTAGTAAAATTGTTCATTAATAGAATTTCTGAATCAAATTGTGTAATTTTATAGCTGTTTGATAATATTGCTAAGCTTTTTTCTGAAAGGATTGCAAGAATATACACCAGCAATGACTCAGAAACATTATCATTGTATTTTTCATTGTAGTGGACACTTTTAAAAATGAGATTATACCTTGAATACTATTTTGCACCTGACTTTTCTAACTTTATTATATTCTGTAGTTTTTTTAATCCATGTCAGTAAATATAGTTCTACAGTATTTTTAATGGCTACATGGTATTATAAGTAAGAACTTGTCACATTTACTAAACCAGTTTCCTATGGTGAAAATAAGTAAACTGCTAGTATAATTTTTATCATGTAGTCTTTCTGAAACAATCTTTGTGGGATAAAGCACAACATTTCTGCATCCATTAGCATGTTTTGTTACCCGCTGAGTTTGAAGGTTCCTGTCTTTAAGATGAGATGGTCAGATGATTTAAAGGCTTTATTTTGCCTGTTGGTAGACGGTAAAGACAACACCTGGGGATTTATACCCACGGAAGGGCGTTAGGGGTACAGATTCTTTCCTTCCAGTGCGACTCACCCAGGAGTAAATATTCCCTCAGATTCTGTTTTTTTTTTTTTCTCCTGTTTCCAGGTGTTAAGGTTTTATACTGTAGTCCCTAAAAAGGGATGTTTTTATTTAAAAAATATATTGCTGGAAATAAATAAACATTGGTGTTTTCCAGATAATAATAGTAGCAACAGCAGACATTTATTGAGGCAGTGCTGCAGAATACTCATTGTGTTAGCATTAATATGTGGTCTGTTTTATTTAATCCTCACAAAATTCCTAAGAGGTAGAGCTTTAAAATATAAATGATGCAATAAAAATTTTAAAACATGTTTCACTTTATGAATGAGTAAGCGGGTAGAAAACTGTTGTTCACGATTCTGTATATTGACTGTATCAACATCAACGTTCTGGTCGAGATAGAGCAGATAGAGCAGTTTAGTTCTGCAGGATGTTACTATTGGTGGAAGCTGGTTAAAGGGGACATGGGGTCTCTGTGTGTTATTTCCTAAAACTGTATGTGAATCTACAATTTATCAAAATAAACAGTTTAAGAAAAAAACCAACAACATTGTTATTCCTCTTGGGGGAAATTGAGTAAAGGGTACATGGGATCTTTCTGTGTTATTTCTTGTAACTCCATGTGAATCTGCAAATAACTGCATGTTATTTCTTATAACTGCATGTGAATCCAAATAAAAAGTTTAAGAAAAAAAAAAAGCTATTGTTATCCCTCTCTTCTGGATACGGTAACTGAGGCAGAAAACCCGTTGCTGTCAAATCGATTCTGACTCATAGCCACCCTATAGCACAGAGTAGAACTACCCCACAGGGTTTCCAAGGAGCAGCTGATGGATTCAAACTGCCCACCTTTTGGTTAGCAGCCAAACTCTTAACCACTGTGCCACCATACCTCCCACTGAGGGTTTAATAACTTGTTGATGTCATAGAGGAGGCAATAAGCCATCAAAACCCATATTTAGGAATATTAGGATATCTTTTCTTCTTAACTCATGACTGGTGTTTGAGTAGGAGTGCCTGAGTGGAATAAATGGTTAACGGATCGACTACTAGCTGAAGGGTTGGCGATTTGAACCCACCCAGAGGTGCCTCAGAAGACAGGCCTGGTGATCTGCTTCTGAAAGGCCACCGCCTTGAAAACCCTATGGAGCGGTTATACTCTGCACACATGGGGTTGCCATGAGTCGCAGCTGACTCGATGGCATCTAACAACAGTGTAAGTATTTTAAATAATTTTGGGGTAGAATAAGTATCCAGAAGGCCATTAGGAGTAGGGCTCTTAAGGAACTTGCTGAGCATATATATTGGAAGGCTTGCCAAATCAATCAGAAGAAAAGGTGGTACAAAGAAAACCAGGCACAGGAGAATTGAGTTGTCGGACAGACTTAACCTTCTACCCCTTTTCCCAAAGACTGAGATTGAGTTCAGTGTTAACATTCTGGTCTAAATGCTTCTTTCATTAACAGTTTTACTTCCCATGTCTTAGACAGTTTTCTCCATGACCAAGTTCACCTTTTCTTTAAACTTGTCCTTATTACTAAATATCTTAGACATTTTCAAGAAATTTAGGTAACTTGTAGAAGTAGTTATTTGGTCAGATTCAGTTATTAAAAAAACAAATCTAGCAGTTAATTCAAGAAAATTTTTATTGTGGTGAAAATATACATAACAAAACATATGCCATCTCAACCGTTTCTACACGTACAATTCAGTGACATTGGTCACATTCTTCATAACCATTCTCGGTATCCTTTTCCAAATCATTTCATCACCATTAACGTCAAACAGTTTATTTTTAAATGTGGAAATTTGGGTGCCTCTAAGATGCATTGCTTTTCGGCAGTACATATGGTGGCGCTATATTTGGTGGTGATGAGGAGTGCAGTGTAAAAGGAAAAAGAAAAAAGCGCATGATAAAAATGCCTAAATGTAATCAAGCTGACTTATTTTAATTCAACTACTAATGACTTAAATCCTGTCAACCTCTTGATTTTCAATTATGTGGAGTACCGTTCTGCAACTTAATTATATTTGCACAGCCTCATTTCATAGTTTGGTGCAATTTAGGATAAATCTGTCTTGAAAGAAGTACAGCCAGAATGCTCCTTAGAAGCGAGGATGGTGAGACTTCGTCTCATGTAATTTGGACATATTATCAGGAGGGACCAGTGTCTGAAGAAGGACATTGTGCATGATAAAGTAGAGGGTCAGTGAAAGAGAGGAAGACCCTCAACGAGATGGATTGACACAGTGACTGCAACAATGGGCTCAAACATAGCAAGAATTATGAGGATGGGCAGGACCGGACAGTGTTTAGTTCTGTTGTATATAGGGTTGCTATGAGTTGGAACGGACTCAACAGAACCTGACAATAACAATATCAACAACAAGATACCCAAGATGCAAACGAAATGTCTCGGTAGGAAACTAAACGTTGTGTGTCTTTTGGTTTTCCCACAGCAGTTCTGCGGAGCATCCTGGGGCCTCCAAGCCTCCAATAAGCTCCTCCAGCATGACATCACGCATCTTGCTACGCCAGCAACTCATGCGTGAGCAGATGCAGGAGCAGGAGCGCAGGGAGCAGCAGCAGAAGCTGCAGGCGGCCCAGTTCATGCAACAGAGAGTGCCCGTGAGTCAGACACCAGCCATAAACGTCAGTGTGCCTAGCACCCTTCCCTCTGCTACCCAGGTGCCGATGGAAGTCCTTAAGGTACGTGAACGTCAATCTTGTCAGTTGAACCAAGCCTCCCTCCCCAAACCTTTTCCATTTAGGTATTTGCTATAATGACGTCTGCCCATCTTTCTGTGGGAAAGTTTTGGAACACCCAAGTTACTTGAAACGGGCCTCTTCCAATAACCTGTGTATATGTCTTCCTAAATTTATTCCATGGCCATTCTTTAAATTTTCTTTAGTATGTAATCTTGGCTATAGAATCTAACTCTTTCAGAAAGTCTCTTCAGATATAAAACTGTAGAAGAGCTTCCTGCTTTAATAACCAACCAGCATAATCCTTTTGCTGAAGTGAGTTGTCTGCTTTGGGTCTCTGTGATTTCTTGCTGGAGTAGAAACTGCAGGAGCTTGTTAGCATCATTCTGTCAGGGACATATAGCTTCCTAATTACTGGAAAAGTTGTAACAAGTCTAAGAATAGATTTCCATCTCCCACGTGTGTCCTCCAACATCACATAGAGATACTTCTTGTTTAAAGAGAAACATTCTAACTCTCTTAAATATGACGGATGCAAGGAAGGTTAAATGGAAAGAAAGGGAATATCCTTACTTTTGTGACTATTGTTTACAAATCCATTCACCTAACTGATTTGTTCTGAAGAGTCCCTAGAGTTAATGTTCATTAAACAACGTGAACTTTACACGCTGGTGATTCATTGTTGGCCCTTGTATTCACTGGGGTGAACAGAAAAAACATCTCTCGCCTTTTAAAGTTTACTGTTTAAGCAAATAGAGTGATGAAGTGTTCTAATTGGGAAGCAATATATGAGCCATACCAGAAAGTAGGGAAAAGGTTATTTAAAAACAAATTTGAAGTCACTTATTTTTTTATTTGTAAAGACTTAAAATATAATAGTGAAATAAAGAAACTGTGATAGAAAAACCAACTGAAAATCTGTTAGGACAGAAAAGATCCAAAAGACTTAGGATAAACTTACTCTGCTATGATTGTTTGAAGTTCTGGATATTGCCACAATTAATGTATGTTTACTCTCCTCCCCTTCATCCCCCCTTAAGTAAAGGCAAAGTTTTCTCTCCGGAATAGATGATATGTTGATTCTTTCTTTTCTGCTTAGGTGAAATTTGACGATCACTATTGATTTGAGTTGTCTGGTGTTCTACCTATATCTTAAGTTGTTTAAAGTTATATGACTTAAATAATCAGAGGTAGAGAAATATGTCTGTTCTATTCATCATAATGGTCTGTGTTTTTAATCAGAAGGACGGATATTAAAAGAGATGACATGTATTTGTTCCAGTAGTGGTTTATGTACAAATAGAAGGTAGTATTTGATATTACATTAAAGCATGTTAGTTAAAACCAATATTTCTATCAAGGCAGTTGCATCCTTTGGTGAGGAAATTGCCCAAACTCAATGTGTTGCAACATTGTTTCCATATTATCTTAAAAATGCACATCGTTTCTAAATGTTTTTGGTACTTAAATATATCTTATTTTGAAAATGATTAAAACTAAAATCTACGTTAAATGGTTTGAATAATATTTCCATTTTTCCCTGTATGTTTCTCTGACCTGTAACATTGGCTTGTGATGAAATCCGCAATTTAGATATGCCAGAAAAATGTCCACGTTGAAACCCAAGTAAATGTACTTGAACTGGATGATATAGTCTAACTAAAAATAAGAAATTGGTCAATGTATATTTCATGCTAAATATAGTTTGTCTCCTTAACTTTTGCATTTTATACTTCAGTTGTATAAAACTAGTAAAGTGTATCATATAAGTGTTAAAAAAACAGTTGTTGGGATAGCAATGTAGATAGATTTGATCGATATTTAGTTAAGTTTTAGCACCTTTAAATGAAGGACCAGGTAAAAATATCTGATTTAATCTCCAGTGACATTGTAAGACGTTACGATTATCGTATAAGTGATTGCTTCAGATGCTTAAAGACTAGTACTTTGTAAAACTAGTTTACATAATTTCAGACATTTTGTGTATGCATATCAATCATATGAAAATATTATTATGAAATGTTTATTGTAAAAAAATAAGTGAGAGAAATGGACTCATTTCTTCTTTTGCCTTCTATAGTTTTAAACCATAAACATAATTTTATAAAGTAAGTGGTGAATAGCAAAAAAATTAATTTGTTTAACCTTGGACCAGTTTAAAGTGAACATAAATTTTCAAGGCACGTGTAATACCGGTGTACTAATCCAGCACATTACGATACAAATGATATTAAGTAAATATTTTCTTGTAATTCTTCATTTAAATATTAAAGATTTAAATTGTTAGAACAGAACATAACTGGGTTTTCATCTTCTTAGTCGAGACAGATGCTAGCATGTGCCGGAGAGTTCTGGTTAAATTTCTCTGTCTCCGAATTGGTTGCAAGAACTTGGTAGAAGAAATACAAATATCATCCTTTGGTTTTCACATACACACTAACTCAGTGGATTTTACTTCAATGGATTCAATGACTGGTTTTGAAATGCTAAATTAGTGTTAATTACTGTTCAGGTTAATCCCTTTCTTTGGCAGTGTTATACATAAAATATCTTGCGAAGCTTTATAAAACATGTTTAAAAATGGTCAACATTTTCTGGTAAACCTAGTGAAAAGCCCCAAGGACTAGTGTTTGGAATTCAGATTAGGGGTCAGGAACTAGCATCATTCACTCCTCACATGGCCATTATTCAGTCTATAACTTTATGAAACTTACAGTATTAGCCAGTGGTTTCTATATTGATTTTATTAATTTATGGATTTATTCCTGTTAATGATTTCATGTTGGGTGACATGGAATGATTTGTCTTTTGCTATATATTTACTGATTAGAGATAGTCCTTTGATTTCTTAAGAGCAACCTTGTCCAGTTGGGTATTAAAATTTAAGGAGGCACAGTGGTTAAGAGCTTGACTGCTAACCGAGAGGTCGGCTGTTCGAATCCACCAGCTGCTCCTTGGAAACCCTGTGGGGCAGTTCTGCTGTGTTCTGTAGGGTGGCTATGAGTCAGAGTTGACTCAACGACAGTGGGTTTTCTTTACCGTAAATGCACCAACATTTAGAGTGTATAATCCATGTTTTTGTAGTAATGAACACACCCTGTGTTTCAAATTATGAATTTGTTTTTAAAAGTCATTGAGAACCATTAATGGAAGCAATTTCTTCCACAGGTGTGTTTTGTTGACACATGAAGCATACAACCTGAGGTTTGAAATTTGATTTATCTAATTTCAAACAAAAGCAGAGTAACTAGGGACAGACCTTAGGGAGGCGTGTGAGGTCTCGTAGCCAAAGAAGCATCATGGTAGGCTGCGTTTGTCTTTGGAACACTCCTCCAGCCTCGGTTTTCACCGTCTCCTCTCTCTCACTTTGACTGATGGCAGACCCCAGGTTACGAACAAGATCAGTTCCTAACTATGTCTTTAAATCTAACTTGTAGGTAAGTCAGAACAAGTGCATATGGTTCTTACTTAGCCTTAATTTAGTGCAAGAAAAGGCTCAAAGCCTTTTCAGTGATTTAAAAGCTGCAGGAGCGGGAAGAGAAGGTGATTGTGATGAAGAATTTATTGGGAATAAGGGTTGGCTGAGTAGGTTCAAAGTGAGGGCAAATTTACATAACATTAAAGGGCCAGAATGAGTTGTCTGTAAGTCAGAACTTCTTAACCCAGGACTGCCTGTAGAGGCGCCTGGTTACTCTGAACTTGGGCTGGCAAGTTCACCACGATTTTTCTCCTCTCATCCCATCCCCCAATTTGGACCTGACACTTTATAGCTTGAAAACATTAGTTTATAGTTTGAAAACATTTCTTTGTTCAGAAATTTTTACCACATTGCCAGAGATTTCTTTTTCCCTCTTTCTCCCTTCCTCCCTCCCTCCCCTCACTTCCTTTCTTCAGTCTTTCTATCTTTTCTCCCTCCCTTCTACACTCTCTCCCTTCCCTTCCTCCCTCCCTCTTTCTCTCCCTTCCTTCCTTCTTTTCACCTTAGAGTTTAAAAATTTATAAAGCAAGGTATTTTCTCTGAAGCAGGTTGTGCGTTGAATTTTTCTGTTCTGCTCAGGCAAAAGATTGTAGGAGTTTAAAAGGCAAATTTTTGTTGTTGTTACTTTAGGATATTTTATTTTAGCTAGTTTGAAGGAATTTATTTTTTCAATTTTCAATTTTTTTTTTTTTTCAGGCCACCTCAGATAATTCAAGGAGCTGGGCAGGTTGCTCTGCATTTAGAAATGATGCTTAATGTTCATCAGATACCGAAATACATTTTGCCAGTAACTTCTCCATTGAAAACTAAATTAACCCTTGTCCTTTATCTGGTAACTGTCTCGTGAATGTTAGACCTCATTAGGATAGAGATCCTAGTGCGTCGGGATGGAAATCCTGCTTCCTTGACACCCTCTTCTACCACCAATATTCCATGAGATTTCACCAGTGACAGAAAGGCTGGATGCTGAATTGCTGGCCTTTCTCTGTAAATTATGGAAGCTACCTGGAGTAGAATTTTCAAGGGGTGAATTATTTTTTAGTTATGATATAGAGACATGAAAAAGGGTGTGTAGAGTTGCAGGTAGGCACAGATTGGCAGAAGGTACTACTCTCAAACCCCACTATACATCTAGGGTTTTTTCCTGGTTTATTTAGCCAGGAATACCCTGGTGACGCAGTGGTTAAGTGCTCAGCTGCTAACCGAAAGATTGGTGGTTCAGACCCACCCAGTGGCTCCAAGGGAGAAAGACCTGACCGTCTGCTCATATAAAGATTACAGCCTAGAAAATCCATGGATCAGTTCTTCTCCGTCCCATGAGGTCGCTGTGAGTCGGAATCGACTCGACGCCACCCAACAACAATAACAGCGGAAACTTATTACCATCATGGTGGCTGCAGGAGGTAGGCACAGGTGCAGCGTGTCTCGGATCCATTGCTCGAGACGTTGTCCTCGTGAGATAAGTACTTGCTGTGTGTGAGAATTCTTAAAATACCATAGCTCATACATGGGCCGTTATATACCT